TTTCTCTGCCCCCCCCCTTTTTTTTTTTTTTTTTTACAGAACTGGGGATTGAACCCAGGGCCTTCGCACTGAGCTACATCCCCAACCTCTCCCCCTTTTAATTTTTGTGACAGAGACTCACTAAGTCACTAAGTTGCCAAGCAGGACTAGGACTTGTGATCCTCCTGCCTCAGCCTCCCAGAGTACTGGGGATTACAGGCAGGGCCACCATGCCCACCTCCCCATTTCTTCTTTTATAAAACACTTTCTCTCCCTCTGCATCTTTATTTCTTCTCACTCACCTGCTTTTCCATCCCCGCTTGCCTCTCCTCTTCTCTTACCGTCAATGCCTCCGTCTTTCCTAGCCCTTTCTTCCCTTCACCTAATCTCTCCCTTCATCCTCCCTGGGTGTCCTTGCCTCACTCCCTGTGTGGTCTCCACATTTTGTGCCCTGGTTCCCCCAGTGGCCCCGGAAAGGCAGAGCTGGCAATGGCTGATGCGAGCTTCGCAGAGAGGGGCCTCTGGGCAGGGACTCGGCTGCAGCCCGTGCTCTGCAGAATAACGCGACAGACACCCTGGCGAAAGCGCCCTCTGCGAGGTGGAAGAGCACAGACACAGCCGCAGGCGGCTGGAAGATGTCGGCCTGGACAGTAGCCCCACCAACCTGAGCCTCTTCCTGGCGCCTACTTCTGCCTGCCCCGTCTCCCCACCAGCTACTTCCCCTAGCCCACGTCCTCTCCTCCTCCCAGGCAGAGCCCACCGAGGGCCCATGGCGCCTGGTCCCCCCAGTCTAAACAGCACTAGACAACCTCGTGATCCAGTTGCGAAAATCACCACCTCAGCCCCTGCACACCACACACACTGCAACGTCCTTCAGTAACCAGATTTGCATTCCCCCTCCTCTTTCCTTAACACCTTATGTCTCCTGGCTCCGGGAAGAGCTGCGTCTGCAGTAGATCTCTTTTCCATATTCCCCATCCCTCCTTCCCACACAGAGTGCCAGGAAAGCCATGAACGAGGAGGAGGAGACAGAGAAGGAGGCGGCGGAGGGGGCAGGGGGAGGAGAGGAGAAATAGCAGTGCTCTGGAGCCAGCGCTTAGCTACAGGGCCTGCAGTAACTGATGATCAAATTTTTTAGAATCTTGCAAGTCAGTTGTTAAACACAGCCATTGCGAGAAAGTAAATTATATAACCTCATAATTAAATATACTGAAAACAAATGTAATAAGTACTCAAAACTCATCACTTCCCAATTATCTTACTATCTTTGACTATTAAACGTGCTCCCGAAGTTACTTATGTCCATGGCACCTGTGTGGTGGAAATTCAAACTAATGGTCTGCTACTTAGTACCTCTTCCCTGTTCTGGCTCAGTACATCACGTTGGTGATTTGAAATTGGCCACCATGGGAGATTTACTCCATGGAATCCATAAATGCTACAAACCAGGTTTGGGTTTGGGCTTTTGAGGGCTGGTTGTTAAAAGTTCACCAGCATTCCATGGAGGAGACAGAACAGCTATTGAAGTTAACCCTTCTCCACCCCTGTGCTGTCCCACTGCGGGTGAATAGAGACTCCTTCATTTCTTGATCTTCCTGGGCTGGGACCTCCTGTGAGATTGGGAGGGAGCCACCCAGAAGGATGGAGAATGGGCCTGATTCTTCTCCTGGATGCCCTTTAGGTAGCACTGACCTCTTCTTCCCAAGCCTGGGCCAAGCTCAGCCTGCTGGCTTCTGGCCACTGGGGTTTCCGTCCTTCCCAGGCCATCCTGCAATGTTCAACCAGTAGAGGGCAGACTTGGGCAAAGATAATAAATATAGTGATTACCTGCATCTTTCTGGGTGCTGGGCAGGGCCTGCTGTGCTGGGTGGGTGGGAAGAAGAACAACCGTTATCCAGCTGACTTGTTCCTTGGATGAAAAAGGAGACACGGGGCAGCGGCGACGAGGTGGTGGTGTGTGGCGGAAATGCCTTCACTCCTGCAGCAAGGGTTTTCTGTAGCACCTGCCTGCCACATGCCAGGCACGGTGTCACATGCCGGTGATGAGATGGTGTACAGCAGACATACACCATGCCTCGTGGAGCTTCTACTCTAGCTCTGAAGACAGGTGTTAAGTAAATAGTTAACACAAATAACCGCACGATCAGACTTATAAGTGCTCTAGAAGGAACACACAGGGCCTTACAGGGGTTCACAAGAGGGGGTCGTATCTAAGGGTCGGGAAGACCTCCTTGTAGAATTGACATTTAAGCTGAAACCAAAAACGGAGTAGGAGCCAGCCAAGCCTTGGGTTGCCAAGGCAACCATCAGGGTCCCAGGTGGTCCTTGAGTCTGGAAGGACAGGTGTTGCTTGTGGCCCACGTGGAAGGGAACCCGCTGATCTGCCTCCTCCCCCAACCTGTCTAGCACTTCACCAAGCACTCTGGATCCTCATGACAGTGCGTAAGCTGACAAGTCAGGAATTATTATTCATTCCTCAGATGAAGAAACCGAGAGTTGGAAGAGATGAATCATTTACCCAGTTCACACGACTGACAGATGCCTGAACCAGAGTGCCATGCACTGGCTCCCAGATATGGCAGTGGGGAGCCGTGTGACGCTGAGTGAGGTCTCAGCCTCCTCTCCTAGAGACAGAGCAGCCCAGCACACCTCGCTCCAGGGAGGGCACAGAAGGCAGTGAGCTCAGAGCTCTCACGGGCTCCCCAGGGTGTGCGTGTGTGTGTGTGTGTGTGTGTGTGTGTGTGTGTGTGTGTGTGTCCAGCTCTGTGCATTTCTCTTTTCCTCTCCTCTCCACCCTTTCTACCCTCTTCCATATCCCACTTTCCCCTCCATATCCTATGGGACTACGAAAAGCCTCAGCATGCAACAGCTGAAAGACTCAGATCTCCAACTTCAAGAAAACCCTGGACTGAAGGACAACTCCCACCCCATGGCACTTATACACACACGCTAATAAAAGAGATTTTCCAGAGCTGGCTTCCTAGGTACTAGAAGTCGAGCCATCTCCAGCTGTCCACAGTGAATCGTACACACAGACAGTCATCAGATTCCAGCCTGAGTGCAGGAGGAGGGGACCAGCAATTCCTGTCCTCCCTCGCCTTCCCTGGGGCCATTCTGAGCACTTATAGGATTTCCCCAAGGCCGGCCACCGCCTCCACAGCTGTCCCCAGACAATCCCCCAGTTTTGGCTGGGGAAGCCCGAGGCACAGAAAGAATGCCCCTCTTGGGCTGTCTCCCTGAAGAAATTCTAAACGGAGCATCTGTCCCTCGCCCCAGGGGAAGGGTGGGGTCAACTGCTACTTCCTGTCTCCTGCAAAGGAGCTGGGCTCCAGCACTGCTCCGGCAAAGGAGGCAGGGTGGGTGGCTGCAGAGTGAGCAGAGGTCCTCCTGTCCTGCAGGATGAGAAGAGGATGAGATCAGCCAGGAGGGTGGGTGCCAGCCAGGCCAGGGAGAAAAAGGAATGGAGCCCGGGAGGGGACCACAGGGTCTGGACGGCAGCAGCCAGCAGTCTAGGTCTGCCCGAGACTCCACACTTGCCTGACGCGCTCACTGTCCTCAGGCGGGTCAGCAGTCCATCCGTACCTGCTTCTGACCCTGGGGACCGCACTTGGGGCCCAGCCACCAGCCCTGCAGGGAGAGGAGCAGGCCAGCCTCACCTTGGGAGAGTCCAAGAAGGAGGTGGAGGGGAGAAGCTAGAGCCCTCTTCTCTGTGACAAAGAAAGGGTGAGTCTGTGGCTGGAGCCGGATGGTGAATTTGTCCGGAGCCAAATCCACCTTGGGGACTGGAGGTTTCCTCCCCTACATCTCTTTCGGATTTCCTTTCTCATTCATTCCCCTCCTGGGAACATTAATCTCTTTTAGGTTGCAGATTTGCACTTTGCAAATCTCTTTTTCACATGGGATCTAATTCCAGGGTCCCAACCACTCTGTGAGCAATTCTTTTCCCTACTTTACAGAGAGAAAATGGGAGGCCACGTGACTTGTCCAGGGAAAAGATGACGAGCTGTGAGCAGCGGAGCACTTGCAAAAACAAGATGGGTGGGGCTGTAGGGGGGGAGTCTCTGCAGGGAATTCCCGCCTCCAACGCCCAGAAAAGTTGTATTGTTTATTCTTTTATTCACGTTTTTTGTTTTATTTTGTTTGCACTACCGGGGTTGGAACCCAGGGCCTTGTGCACACTAGACAGGGGTTGTACCACTAAGCTAACACCCCAGATCCCCAAAACACTTGGAAAGGCAAGGACTGGGAAGGACATCTCCCAGTCTGGAAAAGGGGTGCCCCATGGGATTCTGAGTCAGGCAGCAGGAGCAGGGCCTGCATCCTCAGGGAGCACACGAGTGACAGCGATCTGGGCCCCCAGGGAAACCCCTGAGCTCAAGGACACACTGTCCCTGTCGTCCCCACCCCACGCCCCTGTCTGTGTCCTTCCAGACGAGAGACAGCCCCTCCCTGCCTACATCCCCCGGCATCCTCCTTCCTCCCGCCCCTCCCTCTTCTCCCTCGACACCCACTCAGTCCCGCCCCTCCTCTCAAGGTCGTCTCCAGCAGCCACTGGCTCAGAGCCTCCTCCCTCGGTCACTGCAGCTTGGCCTGACGTCTTCAAGGCGGAAAGATGCCTGTTTACATTCTGCGCGTCCTCCCACCCCGCCAGCCAGGGCCTCCTCCCTCTCCCTCACACACAGACCTCCGCCTCGGCCCGGCCTGTGCGGCCCTTCCAGATGTGCAGTGTACCTGCACACAGATATCTCCCCTCTGCTGTCCCTGTCACCTTCCCTGTGTCCCCTTCCAGGCCCAGTTGCTGGAACAAACAGCTTTTGAGCCTTTTTGCACCATGCGTGCAGCCGCGTCTTCAGAGGCCCTTTCTCCTTGTCTCTGTGTCTCAATTCGGGCACAGAGGGGCCTGCGGGGTGGCTTAAGGCTGTGGCCACACAAAGGAATGGAGGGGCCAGAGAATGAGCACTGCAGGGTACCCAGCCCAGCCTTCCTTCCTGTGGGACTTGTGGCAAATCAGCACCCAACTCTCCGTCCTCCAGCCTCCTGCTGGGCTCCCTCCTTCCAGTTCTGATGCTCAAAGCGTATCCCAGCCCAGGGTCACGGCGCCCATCCCGACTGCACTGCAACACAGATCTAGTCTGAGAACAAAGACTGAGGCCTCTCCTTCCTACCACTCCCCATGGCCAGACCCACAGGGACAAGGTATCTGATCAAAAGGAGGCTCAAATGGATGGACGCCCAGACAGCCAGATTCTGATCCTGTGTTGGGCACTGCCTGGCCTCCAGCTGACTCGGCTGCCAGCCCTCTTGCCGGGTCTCTGATCCTTGCAGAAGAAGGCGCCATCCAAGTCCTCCAGGCAATGCTGACTGTCCTGACACCAGGGGCAGCAAAGAGCAAATGGCAAATTGCCCACAATCCATAGCCCTCAAGGATTACCTCTTGCAGTCTCAGAGGGACTCTTCCCTTCCGTAGTACCCACCTCTTTCAGCCCCGGGGAATGTTCTGGTGTCCACAACTGCAAACCAGAGGTGTCTCTCTTAGAGAATCTAAGAAATAAACCCCTGGAAGGCAGGTGTCCCAGGGACAGGCAGTGGGGCAGTGCTAGAGGCAGGGAAGAGGTGGACTGCTGGGGTACATGAGGTTCAAATAACCTCAAAAAAAGAGCAACTCAGAAGGACAGAAACAGGGCTGTGATTTAGCTTGGTGCTGCCAGCTGCCTGGCAAGCGCAAGGCCCCAAGTTCAATCCCTGGTACCAGCAAAACAAAACAACAAAGAAAAGAAGGACAGAAACAGCTTCTATGCTGGGAATGTTCTGCAGAACAAGAAAGTGTTAAGTGGTTATACAGATGTTGAGGAACTCAGCAGAGGAGAAAAAATAGTCTTTATGGCTCAAGCCCTTTGGATCAGCCGTCTTCCTGGGGTAAAATCACCTTGTCCGTAGATGCTGCTCCTCGGAAGAGGCAAGCCTGAAAATAAGGTCCTGTGGATGTCAGCAGATGGAGAGGTCAGCCCTGCAGACGTGACAGCAGGCCGTGGGAGATGGGAAGATGGCAGAAATGCAGTCCTTACGTCCCTCAGTCCCCGCTCCCGTGCCCAGGCTGGCCTTTGTCTGGTGCAGATGAGGAGCTCCCCTCTGGTTTAAACCAGGGCCCAAGGTCCAGGCTGCAGAAAGCTGGGTAAGACACTGTGCCAGGCCTCGGGCTGTCCCGTGGCATTGTATGTGTCATCAATCCAATGCCCCAATTTTATTCAAGAGCTCAAGAGAGGCTCAGTTCCTTGCCTAAGGTCACAGAGCAAGGAAGAGGCAGAATAGAGCTTCCAACTCCGGCCTGTGGGCCAAGCCCTCTGGCCCTCCTGGACTGGAGCTGGGTATCTGACACACGAGCCAAGGCATTGTTCCGTGCTTTCTGTGGGAACCTTGCGCAGAGCACACCCAGTAAACACTGTGCCAGAACAGCTCCCCCGCGTGGAGAGACAGACCTGCGGTAGAGGTCTGACCCTGAATGGCCCCTTCTCCTCCCACCCTCTCCAAATGTCCCCTGCTGCAGCACCTACCACCTGGATTTCTCCTCCAAGACTCTCCCGTAGCTCTCCCCACACCCACCCACTTCCTACCCATTGTCTCTGAGCCCCACTTTTTGGCTCCTGAGCTCCTAGTCACTGATTTGTTTCCACTCTTTGAGCCCAGAGCACAATAGGATCTTATTGGTAAACAGAATCAGAGAGAGCAGGCCCGGGGCAACTGCCTGCCAGATCTGAGCTGGGAGCCTCTCCCTGCAGCCCCCTCCCGGGGACAGGAACTGCACAGGTGGCCCAGCCCTGCCATTCTGGTGCACTGGCAGTGCGGGGGAGCCCCAAGTTGGCTGCCCCTCTCCTTCCAAAGAGTCTAGGAACCACCCACTTGTGCCTTACCTGGAGGGGGAGCCCTTTGTTTATTGCTGTCATCATCCCGCAAGGCCCCAGCACCCCATGCCCAGGTGAGCACTACTGGGTGGGTGGTGTTTCCCACATAGTTTCTACGGTGGCCTGCAAGGATTCCGCGACAAGGCAGAGGTGAGAGGCAAGCACACACACCCTACCCCGAACAGAGTGGCCAACCGCAGCTGAGGGCCTTAGAGGCTGCAGGGCACCTGGCGAGTCCTAACCCTGAAGGTCCACCCTTTCATGAGGATCCTGAGTCTTCCTTTTCCGAGCTGGACACAGAAGGCGCCCCTGAGTCCGCAAGGCCTGTGGCTAGAGAGACTCCCCTGATTCAGCCTTGCCTCCACCTCACTGTCTCGGTGTCCTCTGATTCTGTGAACAGCTCTTTACCAGGTGCTGGAGACATCAGCATGATAAACAGGCAGGTCTCTTCTCCACGCAAGACAACTGAGCAGATGAACAAACCATCACAAACAAACTGTAACTCAGACAGGAAGTGGTGCTAGAGAGGAAGCGGCAGATACTGGGAGTGGAAGCCGGTGACCGGAGGGGTGGCAGTCAAGGAAGTCCCGTCCCATGGTGACGGCTGAGCTGACATCTCCAAGAGAAGGAAGCAGCAGCCAGCAAAGTGGCGGGGAACATGCTGCAGGCGGAGGGCACGGAGGCGCAAAGACCCTGGGCAGAAGCAAGCATGGCAAGTTCAAGGTAAGAGGAGGCCAAGTGGGGCCCAGGTGTGCAGCCAGAGCTGCGGGTGGGGTGGAGCCTGAGCAGGAAGGGCTTCAGGGTTCCACTGTAAATTCAGCGGATCCAGCTCTGAAAGACTTAGTGTCCTCAGTCCCTGTTACTCATGCTGAAAACACTAGGCAGGAGGGAAGGGAGCGTGAATCACAAAGTGGAGGGTGACAGTGACCAGAGAAAACATAACCTTTAAGGAGGAAGAATCTGTTGCTTGGCTACAAGGGGAGGGGAGGGCCGAGGGCCGGGAAGGGTAATGAGGGACTGAGTGGAGAAGGGGGAGCCCAGCAAGAAGCAGGAGCCCTAGGGGACGGCTTGAAGAGGAAGGGTGAATCCCAGCTTCCAGGAGGTGGGGACTTCGAGGAAGGGGGAGGAGGGGGCAGCAAGGCGCATTTCAAGGGGGTCTGGTGGGTTCCCCGCAGTGTCACTTGCCTCCAGTCATAGCATGGGAAAGACTCCCTCCCGGGCTCACAGTGTCTCCAGGCTTGAGTCTCATGGTGACCCTTCGACTGGAGCAGGCGGCTAGTCTGATGCTTGGCCACAGCAGAAGTGGAGGCCCCTGCCGAACCCACCAAGAGGAGGCACTAATGCAGGACACTAACCAGCGTGGCCTCGCCGCCTCCTCTTCCTTGGCCCGAGTGGATTCCAATCTCCTGGAGGGGAAGGTGTAGACTGTCTGAGAAGCCATGAATCCTTCTATTCTTATGCTTTCTCACAGGGAAGGTATTCAGAGACAGGAGCAGATGGGCTTGAGACCAGCCACCGATTCCTGGAGCAGGCCAGAGAAAGGAGCCTCCCCCAGGAGGCCCCTGAGAGCGGTAGGGAAGGAAAGTCACAGAGGTGCACTCGAAGGCATAGACCCTCCCTCGGGGAAAGGGGCTCCCAGAGCTTCCATGTGCTGCCAGACTCCAGTGCCAGGAAGGGGCTGGCACAGCCCCCAGGAGAGGAGAGCAGAGAAGGGGACCAGGGACCACCAGACGCCTCCCCTGGGAAGGGGCCCATGCCCTCTCCAGATGGAATCTCCCCGAAAAAAGGCAGACGAGCCCACTCCTCCTCTGCTGACCCAGGCCCCGGAGAGCAGAGATTCCAGTCCGTGCCCCACCCTGCTTCTCCTGGAAGGCAGAGCAGTCCCCAGACCCTGCAGGGCCCTCTCCTCCCCTCCCGCTGGGCTGCAGAGCCCCGAGGCGCACAGCTTCTGAACGCACAGCTTCTGAACGCTGCCTGCTTTCTCATGCACAATGAACGCTTCCCCACAGAACCTTCTGAGCTTCCACCGCATTAGTAATCAGCGCACAGAAGCCTCCTCCCCCGCCTCACTCTCTCGTCTTTCTCCTCCCCCGTCTTCCCTTCCCTACTCCTTCGGCCTCCTCCCCACCTATCAGAGTCACCGCCACCTCCTGGGAAGCCGCGAAGGTTTATCGTCAAATCAGTCTTTGTCATAAGGAAAGCAGGTTTCTTTTCCTCACTTTGAGAAGGTGCTGACAGGAGCAGCTAGGGAAAGAGTGGTTTGTATATTCAGAGCTTTCTCCCCCCTGCGGCTGAATCTGCACTATCTTCTAATTTATCTCGGCACTGTTGCTCCTCCAACCTGCCTCTCCCAGTCACCTGTCCTCTTAACCCTTATTTATGAGCATTTACTCACCTGACCCCTCTGCTTCTTGTCCTTCCTTCATTTCGCTCATTCAGTGACATAGAGTCAATCCCTTTATGTGCCAGGTGCTGAGGACAGGAGACACGGCGGGGACACAGTGGATATAACAAACCAGTACGAAGCCCAGCAGTAACTGGGCGACAGAGGAGCAGCCAGACCCTGTGGGCGCAGAAGTGGAAGCACCCTGAAGGTGGGAATGCTGGGGCAGGGACTACGGAGCCCGGATTCAGGCCTGGGGGGCAGGAGGAGGGGCAGGGCTTCTGCTGGGTTCCAGGGGGTGAGACCTGGGAGCAGAAGGATCAGGTGGGTAAGGCAGGGTCCAGGGAAAGGTGGCTTTGAGGGGACAAGCCGTGGTCATCGGTTAGGAGGCCAACACCGCGTGAATTAGAAGGGAGATATAAGCTCTGGGTGACAATGGCGGTGGCAAGGCTGGTCGAGAGGAGGGGCAGAGGGACCCGGAAAACCAGTAAAGGTAAAAGCGAGCAGGGGCTTCACAACTGTGGGACCCTACGGAAGAGGAGCCCGGTGACTCCAGGGGAGGGTTGAAGGGGCTTTCTGAGCACCCAGGCAGGGACTCGCCTGGGGGTGCTATGGGAACCTACAAGCAGGAGATAATCAGAGAGGCGACCGCAGCAAGAGGCCGTGACCCACAAGGAAGGAAGGGCTGAGGCTCCCTGCGCGCCTGGCCTCCCCGTCTTCCCAGCGATGAGCAGCCTTCGTCGGCCTCCCGCTGTAGGCACAATGACAACTCCACGGAATGCCCCACTAGCTGTGGCTGGCCACGCAGCCCTCTAGCTGCACACAGGCCTCAGGCTCACAAGACTCCCGTCCAGTGCAGAGGGTGTGCACAAAATCCCCACTGCTAGAAAAGTGAGGCACAGCGATAACTCTGTGCCGCACTTAGTGTGCAGTGAGTGCGTGCTAAAAGCCTCTCCCAGGCTCTGGAGCACCGAGACGCCCGTGATTCATCGTCAGTCAGTCATGCAGGGCCTGGCACTCTGACCCTTTCGGAAACCGCTCTCTCCTCTGACGGCTGAGCCCTGTCCTCCAAGGCCCGGGGCAGGAAGGTTTCTCAGTGAGATTTACTCTGCAGCCAGCATGATGGATGGGGCGGCTGTGGCCAGCGGGGCTGAGCAGGGAGAGAAATACAGCAGCAGCGCAATTCGGAAATGGGAGGGTGGCTGCAGGGCGGGTCAGGGAGGGAGAGCTGGATCGGTCCTCTGCCACCTCCGCTCGCCCACCTCTCCATCTGTGTCCTCAGTTCTATGGCATAAGTGACACGGAGAGGTTGGGAACAGCACAGAGGGGAAGGTGAAAGATCAAGGGTCTCTCTCTGCCCACCCTTCATGGCCAACCACTAGGAAAACTGTGGGGCACATTGAGGAGCATCCAGCCCCGCTCCTGCCCCAGTGCCCCAGTGCCCCAGAAACAGGTCCAGCCCAGGACTGTCTTGGCGTGGATGCAGGCTTCCGTCCAACTTTGCTCTCTCAGGCATAGGACACAGCCGCTAGGGCCAGCAGCTAGCAGAGGGAAAGCGATACTTCTCTCCTGGGATTCAATCCAAGCAGGATTCCATAGCAGGGACCAAGGTAGAACAAAACCACAGCAGATCTCTCCAGGAGCTGAACCCTGCAATTTAGGCTGCTGGCAGGCTTGGCAAGGCGTAGGTGTGACGGGCAAGGCCTCAGCCTACTCTTTCCCCAGCCCGCGAATTCCATTTGTCCAGAGCATCCATGTGCACACAAGACAACAGGGGGCTGGCAGGTTACTCCGTCCTCCCACTGGCTCCACACCAGCTGCTGGGAGGTGCCAGAAGCCATGGAAGCTAATGCAACAGATGCTAGGCACGGAGAGGGCCTTCTGGCATCACGGGTCTCTCTTGCCAACAGACAGGAGATGGCTGCATGTCGGATGGATTACTGAACCATCTCTCTCCCTGGAAGCGATCGTGGGCAGTCGATGACAGAGCACCTCAAAACTGAAGACCCCACTTCCTGTGGCTCCCTGACCCCTAGGCACGGGCTTTATAGTGATGCCTCCAACCTGTGCTCAGCCCATGGATGCTCAGGGTGAGGAAGGAGCTGGGGCCAAGGGGGCTAAGGGGCTCCGTGTGTCTAGGTGGCGGCCGTACTGACACACTTACAGAGAGCCAGCTCTTGTAGGCCGGGTGACCCATGGAGGCTGGACCTACACACAGCTACTTACTACAAGCTTCTGTGTTGCAGGAATGGGCCTCACACATACATGGTCACAGCACGATAGTGATCTGTAGAAAGAATAACAGGCTGTTGACAGGGAGTGTTTCTGCAGGTGAGAAGAGGGGACGGTTTTTGCTCACCCTCTCTTTTCCTTTCTTTCCCTGGCAGCTGCTTATCTCTGCCTCCTCCCCACTTCCACCTAGCTCCCCTCCCTACCCCAGAGAGGCCCCTGTTCAAGCCTGGGATGTCCTCTGGGAGCTTCCTGGGGGCTCTTGCACCCAGGACACATCCAATGGTATTCAGAAAAGCCAGAGGAAAGCAGCTGCCGTAAACACAAGCAGAACAGTACTGTTTGCTCTCCCGGCCAGCACCCTTAGCAGGGTGGCATCCGTCCCTCAGCGAGCACCAGAGGCAGCCTGCACGGAACCATTCTGCTTGGCTCTCTGTGCTGCCCCGCCCTGCTCTGTGTCCCTATTCCTGGACCACAAACCTCCAGGTCTCCTTCCCCGACCTCTGGGCTGGGGTCCACTTGGGAGTCCCAGCTTTGGGGCACAAAGCCCGTGGAGGCTTCTCACCTCTTCACGCTCCAAGCCAGACCTGGGTTTTGCGGTGCCACTGCCTCCAAGTCCAGGAGAGCACAGCTCTGACCACAGCTCCGGGGAAGGAGGCCCTTCCTCCAACCTCAGCTCTCTCTCTGGGCCTCAGGAACCATAGTGCTGCTCTGCCCCCCTCTCGGGATGCCACCCACCCGTGCTGGTTTCCCTTCACCCTGCCTGGTTGTGTGATACAGAACCCGGCTAGTACTCACCGTGCACCTGCCATCCCCACCAGTGGTCAGAAACCAGGGGGCAAGCTGTCTGGACCACGTCCCTCCTGAGACACAACGTGGTCCGGTGAACTGGTAGAGATGAACCTGGGTTTGCACCTTAGTCTTGCCAAGCTATTTTTCTTGTGTTTTACTTTCTGCATCTGTAAAGCAGGGATACCACTCCCTCTCCACGGTGTTCCAAGGGTCATCTTACATAACGCGTGCACATACAGCGCCCACCGTCATTCGGCCATGGCAGAGGCCATTGTCGCTCTGCCATGAGAGAAGCATTCTGTGCCCTAACCTCCTGGTGCTCTTCTGGGGCCCAGCCTAGCCAGCGGCCTGGGTGACCAACATGCAGGACAGTCCCTGGAAGGTGAGCGCTGGACTCTCCCCTGGAGTCAGGCCGCTGCCCTGGACAGTTAGCCTCCCAGGAGACCCCATTCCACCTCGGTGCCACCAGGACAGCACAGGAGTGCAGGCGCGTGGGGAGGAATGTCCTTTCACTGGAATCCCGACAGGCAAGGGCTGGACAGAGGCAGCCGGCCTCTGATTCAGTCCCAAGTTTCCCTTAGTGCTGGTTATCACCGCCAAGATCCCAACGCCAAATCCTTGTGAGTCTGTGGTATCAGCTGGCTGTGACTCATCGGCAAGTCTCTGGGTGGATTGGAGCCACGGGCTGCGTGGACCCAGATCCACTGCTTGTTAGGGGCAGGAATTGAGGACTGAAGCCGGAGGCCTCACTGTCCTGGTAGCGTGCAGCCCCACCAAGGCCGAGGCCTGCGCTGGAAAGGAAAGGAACTGCGTGCCAGCCGTGGGCTGAGCACCACACACCCTCCATGTTGTCCAGTCACAGCTTAATCCACTGTCACCTCCACAGGACACAGAGGGAAAGCCGAGGCCCAGGAGGCTGGTGTGGTCTGCACTGTGACATGCAGCTCATCGGTAGGGTCCCAGGCCTGTCCCTCTGTTCCCTCCTATGTACCCTCACCAGGAGCACAGCTGGGCATCTGCCCCAGGAGGTGCAGATAGTGAAGGCAAGGAAGGCGGTCAGGGGGCAAAAGTGGGGTGCACTATGGCCAAGCTGCTTAGGTTGGGGAGGGGGACAAGATCCCCTGGGCAGCAGGCACCTCTGTGGCTCTCTCATAGATCCCACAGGAGCTGGTGCTTTGGGAGAGAAGACACAGGAGAAAGAGCAAAATGTTTTTAAATAGGGCTGGCTCCAAGGCCAAAGACCCAGCAGGAGACAAGGCCCAGGCTGTGGCTGTGCCCCACAGGAGCCATGGGGGATGCAGACGACGCCATTGGAGGCACTGGGCCGTCCACCAGCAGGCGCTCAGAGATGTGCTGTGGCGCCCCCACTGCCTTAGGCCCCGGGGTGATCCAGGGGGACAGGAGAAGGGGGAGGCCGGGGCGCACAGGGAGACTGGGGCAAAGCCAGGGGCCTCGGAACACCCCAGGAAGAAAGGGATCCCTGCCAGGGTGGGCCGGAGTGCAGGGTCCGGTTTTCTCTCTGAAAATGAGGGGGCCCAGTGTCCGGAGGGCATTAGAGCACCGGCCACTGGGTTTCCAAGGCTCTTCCCAGTCCGGACACCGGTCAGAGAGTACCCAGGTGTCACCTGTCCTGCCCCTCTGGCATGAGCAGGCAAGTGTGGCCTTCAGCTGCACCCAGAATTTCCAGCCTCAACCAGAAGCCTCTTTAAACTGCTAAGGCAGAATCCATTTCAGGTTTTCAGTAGAACTGAAAAATATTAACATTACACATCTATTTATTTGTGGCTGCATGGAATCCACTGTCCTAATGTTTAATATTTTTGATTTACTGAATTTTCACCTGACTTTTATTGGTGACTTGCAGGAGCTCAGCCAAGAGGTACAATAGCAGCCGGACAGCAGAGGGATGGTCACCAGCCAGCCCCGCACCCCAGGACTGAGCATCCAGTCTGCACACCATGGGGGAGAATGGCTGAGGGCACAGCGGAACCAGGGCTGGAGCCACAGGACTTTCCTTCCCCCCGTGCAGGGCCATCACCCAGCCCCAGAGCCAGGCAGGTGGATTTCCCAGGTGTGCGGCGAGGCCCAGCCCACCCAGCTCCCCTGAGTCTCCTAGACCAGACCTGGGGGTGCAGGAGGGACACTCACGTAAGTGTGGAAGATTCCCCACCAGGGAAATGGCTTCTTTTTAACCTGCACAGTGGAAGACCTGGGTCCAACCCCACCTCTGCCGTGGCCCAGCTGAGTGACCCAGGGCACTCCCTGGGCAAGTCACTTTGATGGCTGAGTTTCGGTTTCTGTAAAATGGCTTAATGACGCACTACTGGAGGGGCTCATGTGAGAACTCCAGGAGGTGATATGGGCAAAGCTCCTAGTACAGCGCCAGTGCCGGCCCCTGGCTGTGTCCATCAGAGAAGCAGCGGGTGTCAGCATCACGCCCTAGCCGGGCTGCTCCTCCGTGCTTCCCCCTCACTCCACAGAGACCCAAACATACCCAGTCTGGCAGAGCTGTGTGCTGAGGCTGCCCAGTGTCTGGGGAGGTGCTTGGGGTGGGGGATCTGCCCTAGTTAGGGGGTGCTCTGTGCCCCCAGCCACACCACCTGGAACAGCTGCCAGCAGAGGGAAGCCAGCAAGGTGCTGCCCCTCTTCACCCCCACTTCTCTGCCCCCAGACAGGCAGGATGGGTCGTGTTTGTGCTTGGTGCTCCGTGTGACTCTGGAACCTTGGGGGCCTGGCCTGCCTGACTGAAAAGGTCCTGGTGTCCCGCTCCGCACCTGTCCAGGGCCCTTGGAGGCTTGTGTTACCAACAATAGCTTCAAATCCCTGATTAAAATGCTGCAGCGGGGAGAATCAATAACCATCGGCAGCTGAGCCTCTAATAAGTATAATAATCACCATTAAGGAAAGATGGGGGAGTGAGTAGGGCTGGTAACATAGTGATTATATTAATCTCCTCATCAGAGCCGCATCCGCCTGCTCCTGGCTTGCCCTTGCCTGGGCCCCGCAGGCGGCACAGGGGCTGCCAGCCAAAGCGGGCAGCCTGGCTCCAGCCTCTGCAGCCCCGCAGCTCCCACACTCCTTCCTTCCTTTCGTTATTGTGGATAAAATCCCCTGCCTGGGTGGGCGGAGGCAAGAGAACCTTAGGGGGAGGAGCAGGAAAGCAGGGAGAGTTCCTGCTTGAGAGGAGAGGAGCCCTGTCTGGGGTTTGGCACTCAGGCTTCGAGAGTGTCTCACACAGCCTTCAAGAGTGTGGCGGCCGCACACCCCGCCACTCAGAGGAAGGCTGAGGCAGGCAGATCGCAAATTCAAGGCCAGCCTGGGTAACAGTGAGACACTGTCTCCAAACAGAGTCCTCACTTCGTGATCTCCATGGGGCCAATGACTGATTTTCATCTCATTTCACTCAGGAGAAACTTGCCTGGCGCTTACCACATGTCAGGCTTTGCTCTAAGCTGCTGCAGTTCTAAACTCATTTAAACATCTCTGCAGCTCCCAGCTTAATTATCATTATTATTCTATCTTGCAGATAAGAAACTGAGTCGGTTATAAATCACTCTTTCTTTTTTTTTTTTTGAGTTATAAATCATTCACCTAAGATGACTACACCTTGAAAAGCAGATCCCAGACTTGGACTAGGTGGCCCAGCTTTACTGTCTGTGCACTCAGCATCCTAGCCTGCCCTGCCTCCCTAACACGCAAGAAACAGGGCCAACTGGCTGGTCCTACCTCTCACGCTGTCCCTCCCAGGCCCTCCCAAGTACTGCATTCAGCAGTATCCCAGCAGCACCCTTCCTGTATCTGAGCCCCATCCTGGAACGTGAAGATGTCTTGAAACACTTTCCTAGCCAGCTTTGCCAAGCACGAGAAGAGGCCCTGGCCTGCAGGAAAGAGCTCCACTCCCTTCTCAAGGCTGACACAGCCCCCTGCGGCTGTGGGGATAGAACACCAACCTGAAAACCCCCTAGATGTAGGTGGCTGACCTTCCAGGTGTCTCACCTGCTTCTACTGTAGATAGGTAAGTTAACTAGGTATCTTGTCGGCAGTTAGTCAGGGCACACCCTTGAGGAGCCAACGAGGACAGTCAAGGTACAGTCACTGAAAGCCCCAATGGTAAAAGGAGAGAAACCACAGCCTCAAGCTGCCCCTAAGGATATAAATAGCAGTGATTCATATTCTAAATAGGTATCGATCACTTGGTGATCACAAGATCTTGCCCACCTCTTCCAGGAAAGATCCCTGACAGAAGATCCTTGTGTGCTTGCTATGGGACTTGCTTCCTCATGGGATCCCCATTTAATCAATATTACCTAAGTGACATATCTGTCCGAACCTTATTGGTTGATCATAGTTTTGTCCACCTTGTGATTTCTCATCGGATCAACACTACCTAGGCAACTGTACTTGTAATCTTACTAATTCACTATAGTTTTGTCCCACCTTGAACCTGCTTCTCCTGGTAGGCTCTGTCTCATAAAACACCTTTGAGAAGCGGGGTGGGTGGGCAGCCCACTTTCCGGTCCCCCTTCTGTCTCTCTTACACAGAAGCTTTCTTTTTCTCAATAAGCTTTTCCTACTCTTAACCTCTGTTGCTCCTAGAATTCATTCTTCAATTTTAGAGACCATGAAGTCGCATTTTGGATACTAGCAGGTTTGGGGGTTGCATCTCTTCCCTCTGAATCACTTCCAAAGGCCTAAAAATAAGTGAAAGGGTTTCTTCAGCCACCACCTTCCAGAGGAGGAATGTCCTTGGGCCTGGGGGCAAAGCCAAGGAAGGGTTTCCTCAGAAATAGCCAAGCCCGTGCCATCCGCCTGGGACCCAGCCTCCTCTCCAGAGCAGAAACCCAACACTAATCGGCGAGGGTACGTGAGTCCTCATGGTCATCAGCCTGTGCTGCCTTAGAACAGGTGAGGGGCCAGGCTCCCTTGTGCGGCCCACGGTATGCCCTACACCCAGCACAGTGCTCGTGGGCATACATTTGTCTTGCGATAAAGATGAACAGATGAGTGAATGAGTACTTTCATCTTCTCCTCGGTCTCGTTCATTACCTCATACACCAGACCCCAGACAAGTTCTATTTAAGTAGCCTGGGTTTTAGAAAAGGGATTTTTAATGTCTTTTTACTGTTCTTCGATGGTCTTTTTTATCGTTTCATGGTGTGGAGATGAACCCCAGGGCCTCAGGGACTTCTAGGAAAGCCACCACTGAGATACACCCCAGCCCAGTGCATATTTTTAATGCCAGATTCTTCTGGGGGGGTACCAGGGATTGAACTCAGGACCTTGTGCTTGTGAGGCAGGCGTGGTGCCCCTGAGCTAAATGCCAAGCCCCCGTGCATATTTTTTTAACTGTGTAAAATCACGATCTTAATCTTTTTTTGAAAACAGTACTAGGGGTCAAAACCATAAGCACTGTACCCTAACCCTTTTAGTTTGAGACAGGCTCACTAAGTTGCCCAGGCTGACCTTGAATTTGCAATCCTTCTGCCTCGGCCGCACTAGTAGCTGGGAATACAGGCGTGTGCCACCTTCCCCAGCCCATTTTAACCATTTTTAAGTGCACAGTTCTGTGTGGCATGACGTACAGTGACACTGTTGTGCAACCCCCCGTTTATCTTCGGAACTCTTACCTTACGGAACTGAAACTCTATACCCATGAAACATAACTCCTACTCCCCCTCTACTTTCTGTCTGAATTTGACTATTCCAGCTACCCCATATGTTTGAGGAGGTGATTCTATCACAATTCAGTGAACTATTATCTTAGGACTAATTATACAGACTGTTTCCAGTCTTTCCTTGTTATCTGTAACACAGCAACAAATGTACCTATGCAACAAGCTTTTTGTGTACGTAGAATTATTCCTTCGGATCGGTTGTCAGAATTAATAATCACCTGGCTCAGGATTTAGCTCGGTGGTAGAGCACTTAGCTGGCATGTGGACGGCCCTGGGTTTGAATCCAGATACACACACACACACACACACACACACACACACACACACACGCTTCCTTAGGAAAATAAAATAACTTGACTGTATTTTTAGGTTTTTGATGTTGTCAGCTACCCAACAGGATTTTAGCAATTTATATATCACATGTAAAACATTATATTAGCAGGGGCCGAGGATTTAGCTCAGGGGTGCTGCGCCTGCCTTGTAAGCACAAGGTCCTCAGTTCAATCGCTGGTACCAAAATGAAACAAAACAAAAACGTTTTATATTAGCAATGTTATAGACATGGCCGTCTCTCTGTATTCTATCATCACTGATTGTTTTATAATAATCATTGCTAATCAGGCAATCATCTATGTGTCACTGTTAAACTAAATATCTGTTGAGGTGCTGAACTGGAGTCAGGTCTATTTTGAGAAGGTGAGTATGGAGCAGGCTGTGTCCTGAGCTGTAACGATAGCAAAAAGCTGCTGTGCTTTTCCAGCTGGGCCCTAAGCTGGGCAGAAGGGAAGGCACAGTAGACTCTGCTTTAATAGCTGGGAAGCAAGGCCAGCAACTCCCTCCATTTGCTTACAGCTTAAGAGGCTTTTTAAAAAACTCATTTTACAAAAAATAAAAAATTTAAAAAATTTAAAAAAAAAAACAGGCCGGAGATTTAGCTCAGTGGTTCCCGTGCCTGCCTCCCAAGCACAAAGACCTGAGTCCAAAAAAACAAAAAAAAAAAACCTTATTTTACAGATGAGAAAACTAGAAATGACAACTAAAAATAACTTCCACAAGGTCACAGGACTCATCAGTCAGAGGGTCAACTAAAATGAAAACAGACTGCCAGGGCAGGGTGTGGTGGCGCACACCAGTGATCTCAGCACTCTGGAGGCCAAGGCAGGAGGATCACTGAGCGTTCAAGGCCTAGCTAGGCTACTTAGTGAGTTCAAGCCCAGTCTGAACTACACAGGGAGACCTTGTCTCAGAAACACTTCCGAAATTTAAAAATTTAAAAAATAAAAAAAAAAAAAGACTGCTAGTTCAGTAAGCTCAATAGTAAGCCAGGCCAGAAGCCCATATGGAGAGCATCGCACTTAGTCCTTCCCTCCCCACGTCCCAAAAGGCCGGTTCTGTGTGGCCCATGGCATAGACATACCACAGTCACAGAACCCAGATGCATGCTGAGCAGCTGCCCGCCAGCTCTGGTGGCACCAGACGCTCCCTTGAAGACAGCACATGGTCCCCTAAGTCTCTTCCTCCCTTTGCTCCTCTCCTCGGAGCACCCGTCTCTGTCCACCTTTTCACTTGGCGCGTCCATTCATGAGGACCAGCTCCAAACCTGCCCAGACCTTCCCCGCAGGTCCCCACCCCGCCCACATGAGGTCCGGGTGTCCCTCTCGGGAGCCTCAGCAGACACACCCATCATACTTCTCATTTGCTGTACTGCAGTTGTTTATGTGTGGGTTGCCCAGCAGGTGTCTGGAAGCTCACAGGCTGTTTTTATATCTACTTCTTTATGCGCGCCCCGCCACACCGGCACACGAAAGGTCTCAACGAGTGTTTAGTGAATGAGCACACCCTTTGCCATTCAGAGCCAGACCTGGCCCACCCAGAGTCTACACCAGTGATGGCGAACCTTTTAGAGCTGCCAACGATACAAACAGCCCTCTGCTGCATGCAAGCCATAGGTTCACCACCACTGGTCTGAATGGAGGAATTTCCAACAGTGGTGCCTGAAGCAGTGTGTGGGACACAAGGGATCGGAGCCCTGGATTCTCCAGAGGACTCTGAAATCTCTCGGGCGAGCCCACACTTTTCCATTCTATCCCTTCACCTGGAGGCCCCCAGATGATCCAGAAAGAGTGCAGGAGTGCCAGGAGGGAGGCTCTAAGGACAGAGCCTTCAGTATACTGAGAGGGCAGTAATTAAATTTCTCTGCTAACGAGCTCATCCCAGAACAGCTCGCCCTCTGGTCCCCTGGGGATACAGGCCTGCTGTTGGCTTTTTCTCCTGCAGAGCTGGTGGCTGACTCGCTGACCAAACGTTCCAGAGGCATGAGAAGCTGTGACGGCGGCGTGAGACGTGCAACAGGGGAAGAAAGAGCATGGGCCCCCTGTGCTGGTTGTACCCTGGGCCTGGTGGCTCTTGGGAGGCTGAGGAAGCCACCAGGACAAGGCAGAGGACTCCAACCTCCGTAGAGACAACCACCATCCCAAACATACCCAGCGCTTGAAACACTACCAGAAGCCTAGCACAGCAGGCACAAGCAAAAAAAATGTCCATGCCTTCCGGGATGTTCTGGTCGTCACGGTGGAAAAATCAGAACGCTCTTAGTCTCCCTCGCTCTGGTCCCCATGTTGTGTTATGTTACTTGGGGACGCTGAGAGAGTTGAGGGATGTGCCTCCATCTTTTGGAGTTTCCGTTCCTCCTAAATATCTTACTCTGGCCCTGGCAATCTCAGAGGAGATGCCGGGGACGGGCAGACAGTGGTTTGGGGGCGCTGATCAAGAAAGACTTCCTGGAGGAAAGTGCAGGAGGCAACCTAGATGGGTCCCGAGAAGGCGAGCCTGTCAGTGTCGCTTGTGTCACTCACGCGGCCTGGCCGGTGTCTCCCCCTTTCTGGGGCGCTGCCTTCTCCCCAGCCAGCCTTGTGGGTGATGGCAGGCAGCCTGGCTTTATGAGCCACGCCTGCTCGCTAACATGTCATCTGTGGAGAGGAAAGTTCCCAGGACGAGGAGGTCTGGGAGGATGGCAGGTGCCCTGGTCCGCGCTCAGCCTCACAGGGTCAGTCTTTCTGCAATAGAGTATTTAAGGATCAGGATGAAAAATTAAAAAACCAAAAGAAAACCAGCAAGCCAATTACTCTGAAGAAACTCCCTTGAAAGGAAAGGGGAAGAATCAATATTTAATTCAGGCTGCATTGATTTGCAATTTGAACACCACACTCAGCCCCCCGATCCCAGGCAGGCTTTTCTGTGCGAGTTGGCAATGGGTACTTAGGGCCTCAGGGGAGGCAGCGACGGAAGAGGAGCAGGGACATCTGCCTGAGCCCGGGCCCAGCTGTGCCTTCCCCGGCTCCAGATGCCCCCCACCCGGAGGACCTGGGGAGACCTGGGCCACCAGCGAGGATGTGGCGGCAAGGCGCAGTCCCCTCCCTGCCTCTGAGGGGAGCAGCGCCGGGATCCCCCCGGAAAGAGCTGTGTGCGCTCTGTGTACACACCCAACACACACTCACACCACACACACATTGTATACGTACCACAACCGCAACACTCACACCACACGAGCGTGACTCACAAACACATCACATTCACGGCATACACACCGCACGTGAAAGCTCACACCATGCGTACGCAGCACACACTACGTGTGCACCTGCCCTATGCACACTGCTCACAGAACTCACACTACCCACATGCGCCCTACACGGCGCTTTCGCATACCGCACACAAGCCACACACACACACACACACACACACGCGCATCCGATTTCTCAGAGACGGTGGTTCTGTCGGAAATGGACACCTTGGAGAAGAGAGACCTGGGAACGTCACAGCCCTCCGCCCCGTCTCACTCCTGA